AGTCTCTTTTTCTGTTTTGCATATAGGGTTATCGTTACCATCTTTCTAAATTCCATATATATGCATTAGTATACTGTAATGGTCTTTATCTTTCTGGCTTACTTTGCTCTGTATAATGGGCTCCAGTTTCATCCATCTCATTAGAACTGATTCAAATGAATTCTTTTTATTGGCTGAGTAATATTCCATGGTGTATATGTACCACAGCTTCCTCATCCATTTGTCTGCTGATGGGCATCTAGGTTGCTTCCATATCCTGGCTATTATAAACAGTGCTGCGATGAACACTGGGGTGCACGTGTCTCTTTTAGAGGAGATTTTGGATAAACATAAGCAACTTCAGCAGGGATCCAGCACAATTGCCTCTACAAATCAACATAAGCTTTATTCATAAAAATAAATGGTCACCTAAAGATTACCAGACACTAGAGGAAAACTTTTAGCATTAAAAAGTATATTGCTATGGGAGAAGGGACAAAAAGTTAATGCAAGACAAAAATAATTTTTAATCAATTCTATTTAATGTCCTCAGAAAGATTTAAATATAAATTATCCATACAGGAAGAAAAACCAGCTCTAGAAAAAAAGAAATAAGAGAATAACAGAAAAATGTGGGAGATTAAAACTGTTAAAAAAAATTTTTAGTATATAAGTAAATAATGGAATGGGTAGTATTAAAAACAAAACAGTGATATGGAAACATAGTCGGTGAAAACTATCCAAACAAAAGATGGAAAACACAGGAGAAATGCTAAGAGATACTCACATAAAAGCAGAAGGTACATATGAGTAAGACACATCAGAGGAAAGACCAGAGAAAATAGAGAGGAGGAAATAAAGAAACAATAGAAAGTTTCCATTAGTAAAAAAAAATAATTCCTGGAATCCAAAAAGCCAACCAATTGTCAAGTCACGAGAACAGCAACAGCAAAAGACTCAGATACAAGCTGGTAAAATAATGTAAGGAAGTTTTTAAGCTTCAAGGAGGAAAAAAAAAAGTGCCTACAAAGAAATGGGCTTACTTTGACATGACAATTATCAACTACAACTGGTGCTAGAAGGTACTGAGGCAGTGCCTTCAAAGTGAACATTTTCAGACTAGAATACTCTACCAGATGACTAATCAAATGTGAAAGCAAGATGAAGACCTTTTCAGGCATTTAAGAACTCAGGTAGCCTTTCTCTCACTTGCTGATCAAATGAAAGGGCTAAGATATTCAAGAAAGCAGAAAATGTGGAATCCTAAACAATGCAACTAACACAGAAGTCCAATTAAAAACAACAACAATACTATAAATCCCAGATGGCTGTGTTCAGAAAGATATATATCAATGTTAGTGAAAATCAGAACAAAACCCCAAATCTTCAAGGAACAGAGTGTTTTCAAAAAGTGAGGAATTTGCATTCATCAGATAGTTCATTTGAGCTAAGAAATTTTGAGGATCAATGTGCTGTTCCTGTTTTTAAAAAGTAACTATAAAGTTTAAAACAAGGTGTAAAAGAACACTGCCACTCAAATATAAAGTAAAATGAACTCCGATATCATTTTAAACAAAATCTGAGCATTATTTATAGTGTAAAAGAACTTTTCCTCCTGGTACACAGGTTTCATGTCACAGAATTATATTTCTAAACTTTTTAATTAGTGAAATTGCACTACTTGGTTCTGCAATAATTATTTCCCAGTCATAACAGTAAAAATAACAAGTAACACTTATTTAACACTTAACATATGTCCTATCCTAAGCTCTTTAGATTTCAACAGTAGCATAGTAAAGTTAAGCGACTTGCCCAAGGTCACACACTGGTTGGTGAAGTTAGACATTCTGGCTCTAGAATCCCTGCTCTTAAACGTTGGCTATGCTGCTTCTCCTTATTCTGTCTGTTAACTTACAATTCTTCGAATCAATCTATCAGCCTAAAACAAAATGGCATAGTAACAATTATAAAACAAAATACAAATTATACAGATCTTAACATAGAAACAATGATTAACCAAAGTAAGGAAAAGGAAAGGAATGTGCAGGTGTTATTTTTCTTAACCTTTTATATACACATGGGCTCCCCAGGTGGCGCTGGTGGTAAAAACCGGCTTGACAATCCAGGAGACATAAGAGACACAAGTTCTATCCCTGGGTTGGGAAGATCCCCTGGAGAAAGGCATGGCAACCTACTCCAGTATTCTTGCCTGCAGAATCCCATGGACAGAGGAGCCTGGGGAGGGGGCCACAGTTCATAGGGCCACAAAGTATCAGACACGACTGAAGTGACTTAGCATGCACACATGCAACTTTCTATATAAAAGAAGTATAATACAGAAATTTCTATATAATAGAAAGTCAACAGTAAACCACATGAGTATAATGGAAAATAATACTATAAAAATCAGCAGGGAGGAGAGAGATAATGAACCTGAGCTAAATTTCTCATATTTCACAGTAAGCAAGATGGCTAATTTTATAGGTATACAGCAGTTGTCAGTAGACATTGTCTAATTTTAAAGTATAACATATAATTCATGTGGCAACTCTCAGAAAACTTAAAAATAGAAAAATTCAAGTTGATACATTAAGAAATTCAGAAGACTATCTGAATTTGGGAGACTTCAGAAAAACTAAAACTAGAAAAGGAGGGGGACTCAGGAAAGGGAAGAACTTTGTTTTTAACCATCTTAATTTTTTTTTTTTTTACCACAAATAAGATCTTTTATTTGTCACCATTAAGAGTCTGCATTTTAAACCGATTCTTGGACTGGTGGTTCGTATCCATCAGCTCGTTCAACTTTAGCACCTGTCTCGTCCCCAGTAGCTTTTCCAGAACTACTACCTTCACCGTGTAGCTCCATGAGTTTTCCCAATTCAAATTTGGGCTTCTTCAGCATTTTTACTTTTCTAACAAAGACATCATGGAGCGGATAAATAGATTGGCAAGCCTTTTCTATGTCTTTTCCAATGCTATCTGGAATCAATTTATTGACCACCTCTTTCAAGTCATTTGTCTGCACCTCTCGGGTCATGATCTCCATCATCTTCTTACGGATCTGGCGCACCTGCTGGTGCTGGGCGTATCAGACAGTACTTTATTATGAAAATAACTATGTAATACTACTAATAATAGAATATCCTATAAAGAAGGGCATAATTGATTAGAGTACCTTTCAATTCTGGCATGGTAACACAAAAGGACAATAAATGGTACCAGACTATGAAACTCAGTGGGTACAAAAAGAGGAACAAGGATACCATATAAACATATTACAGAACACTCATGCTCTTTGCAGATTCTTTGTTTCCACATCACTATGGGCTAAATGGCCCACCTTATATAAACTTCCCCAAGGACCTTTCATCCAGGGACCTTTCATCCACTTTAGACAACCACTGAGCCACACACACTCCAGGCCCCTACTCCGCACATTTCATTAAAGAAAGGGCTGCCTACATTCACACACGGGCCGGAGTCTACACTTGGCATCACTTTTTCAGGGAATAATTTGGCAGCCCTTATTCTTTGGTGGTTCAGATGGTAAAGAATCTGCCTGCAATGCAGGAGACCTGGGTTGGGTTCCTGGGTGGGGAAGATGCCCTGGAGAAGGGAACAGCTGCCCACTCCAGTATTCTTGCCTGAAAAATTCCATGGACAGAGGAGCCTGGCGGGCAACAGTCTATGGGGTTGCAAAGAGTCGGACACAACTGAGCAACTAACACTACTACTACTGAAATGTAAAACACAGCTACTCTTTGACCTAACAATTTCACTTCTCAGGATCTACCCTACAAGGACATTCCCAAATGCTCAAAGACAACATTATACAAGGACTTTCAATTAAGCTATTACTGTTTACAACAGAAGAAGACAGAAAGCAATCTAAATGCACACTGGTGGATACAGAACATTTCCTTACCATTTAGAAAATGAAATATATCTACATGGAGTAACACTAAAAAGTTTTTGCAACATGTTGCAGAGCAAGAAGAGGCAAGAAGTAGAATAATATATTATACAAATTGTGTGAGATAAACAGACACGTCATGTATTGGTACACGTGGGCTTAGGGTGAAAGGAGGAAACAAGTTTTTACCTTTGTACATGTTTTTGCCCTTTTTTTTTTTTTCGGGCCAGCATGTATTGTTTTTGTATTTTAAGAAATCGGATCATATCTCAACTGCCAAATTATGCTGTGCTTAGTCGCTCAGTCGTGTCCGACTCTTTGTGATCCCGTGGGCTACAGCCCGCCAGGCTCCTCTGTCCACGGGGATTCTCCAGGCAAGAATACTGGAGTGGGTTGCTATGTCCTCCTGCAGGGGATCTTCCCAACCCAGGGATCGAACCCAGTTCTCCCGCACGGCAGGCGGATTCTTTACCTTCTGGGACACCAGGGAAGCCACATATTCGGGGTTTGGGGGAAAAATTCGAAAAGAGAAAACGCTCACCGTCTTGCCATTAGTTCAGTCTCAAATGGAAAAGAAGAAAAACAAAATACACCAAGCAGCATGCTGCCGTTTAGGATTAGCGACAAGGCTAGCTTTACCGGTTGGGTCATTTTTTTAGTGAATCGGGGCAGGAAAAGGAGGGCACAAAACAGTCACGGCGGAGATGAGGAGCAAAACCCAGGAGCGGCGGGGCCCAGCGAACCCGGGGACGCCCTCGGAGAGGACGCAGGGGGCCAGGCGGGCGGAGGCCCGAGCGCCGGGGCGGCTTGGGCAAGACACCAGGTCCCGGGTTGTGTGGAAAAGACCGCGGAGGGGAAGAAACCGAACGGACGGGGGGCCGGGGACACCGCCCCCACCAGGGGAACCTGTCGGGAGCCGCACGCCGGGCTGGTGGCGACAGCTGGGCGGCCAGACCAGGGTCACCCCGGGGCGCCAGGGCAGTCCGGGCGGCGGGCGAAGCCCGAGATCCGGGCCGAGCGCCCGGGCAGCCGCGGCGGCGACAGCTGGAGCCCGCCCCAGGCCGAGGCCGGGGCTGCGGGGAGCAGGGCGGCAGAGCAGCCCGCGTACCTTCCCAGGAGAGCTCTCCTCCCGGCTCGCGCTTCAGAAACTTGTACCAGAACGTGTCCACGCGGCCCGGCTCCGCCCCGTCCTGCGCCGCCTCCTCGGCCGCCAGCTCCACCTCCCCGAGCCACAGGCCGGGCTCCTGCAGCGCCAGCGCGCCCGCGCCCGCCGCCGTACCCGCCGGCCTCAGACGCACGGCCCCGCGCGGCTCCCAGCGCCCCAGCTCGGGCCGGGACCCCACGACCAGCAGCTCCGGCCCGGCCCCGGCCACGGCGGGCGACACCACCACCCCGAAGCGGAACCGCATGGCGGCGGCGGGCGGCGCGACTCCGGGTCCCCCTTGTCCCTGCGACCGGCGGACGCGGCCCGAGCGCTAGGCGGACGCGGCGATTGGGTCCCGGGCGCCGGCGGGGACACGTGCGAGGCTGCACCTTTTTTGGGCTGCATCACGCGGCCCAGGAGCCCGGAGCCTGATCCAGGCCGGGGCCTCTGGCCGCGCGCGCCCGGAGAAGGAGGCTGCGCCCGGCCTGCGGCCTCTTCTAGCGGCTCCGCCGGTGGCTGGGCATGGGGAGAAAGCAAAAACACGGGTTAGGAAAGCAAAGCAAACTCCCCATAAACTCCGAGATTTTCCAGTGACCTTTCCAAAAGACTCGAAATTATTTTTGTGAGTACAGGAATAATGTGGTCTTTTCTATCAAAGAATATAATCAACCTCCTTCTTAGGAAACCCACCCCATTTTGTAGTCTTAAATTCCTGTACTGCATGGCAAATAGAAGGGAAAGGGGTGGAAATAATGACAGATTTCCTCTCCTTGGGCTCCAAACTCACTGCGGACCGTGACTGAGGCCATGAAATCAGAAGAGCATTGTTTCTTGGCAGAAAAGCGATGACAAACCTAGACAGTGTGTGGAAAAGCGGAGACATTATTCTGCCCACCAAGGCCGGTTTAGCCAAGGCTGTGGTATTCCAGTGGTCACTTCGGTTGTGAGAGCTGGATCTCGACCATAAGGAAGGCAGAACCCAAAGCCAGAATGCCTTCAAACTGTGGTGCTGGACCAGACTCCTGAAAGTCCCCTGGACCGCAAGAAGATCAAACCAGTCAATCTTAAGGGAGATCAACCCTGAATGTTCACTGGAAGGACTGATGCTGAAGCTGAAACTCTGGTATTTTGGTCATCTGAAGCGAACAGACGACTCATTGGAAAAGTCCCTGATGCTGGGAAAGATTGAGGGCAGAAGGAGAAGAGGGCATCAGAGGATGAGATGGCTGGATGGCATGACGGATGCAATGGACATGACCTTGGGCAAATGTCCGGAGATAGTGAGGGACCGAAATGCCTGGCGTGCTGCAGTCCATGGGGTCGGAGAGAGTCCGAGAGGACTGGGCAACTGAACAACAGCAAAAGTTCCTGTAACCAAGCTGCACGTGTTTGTAGGTCTCCCGCAGTGCAAGCGGATTCTTTACCACTAAGCCACCAGGGAAGCCCCTCCTCCAGCTAGCTGCTTCATTTGTTCCTGGCCACCTCACTTGGCAGCTGCTTCACTTGAATTAGCCGATCGCGCTGGATTGTGTCACCACGCTCCCGTCAATCCGAGTTGTTGTTCACTCCCCCAGTCCTGTGTGAGTTTTCAGGATCCCATGGGCTGCAGCCGGCCAGGACTCCCGGTCCCTCACCACCTCCCAGAGTGAGGTGCAGCATGTCAGGTAGAAACACCCAGGGGAGCGGTCTTCCCACTCAGTGTGATTGCCCGTCAGACTGTTGCCCAGTGTTTTTCTCATTCTCCCCGGCGACAGCCGGATTATATTTCCAGCAACTGGGGGGATCGTCGGGGATCCACATCACCTGGAGAGGTCAAATGAACTATCCACACCTCCCCCACCCCCCATCCCAGGGCCCCACCCCCTCCCCAGGAGATGCTCCCACTGTTTCCTTCAGGTGGCTTCGGGGGAGGGGAAATCTCCGATCCCTTGGGCTGACAGTAGGCTCCAGGTCTGAAGTTGATCTGCAACAGAGGGGAAGGGCCCAGACAAGCACCCCAGAAACCAGGTAACTTCGTGCAAGGAGCAAGGCAAGAAACGCCACAAGAGGTGACAAAGTATTTCCTTGGATCAGGTCATCCCAGAAGCTGTCTGTGTGTGCGTGAGATGTGTCCTGAACACGAGGTGAGTGTGGAGTCCTGATCCAAGCTTCCACTAATATTCTTTGGTGACTTCATATGGCACAAGGCAGTCCTTTCGGACCAGTCGGGGCCTTATACTGACCTACCAGTAGCTAAGAAGCACCTCTTCTGGGGATATTTCTCCCAGGAGGGAAACAGCAGGAGACAGAATTGAAGCGTCTAACCCAATGCTAACTTCAGTCGTGTCCGATTTTGCAACTTATGGACTGTAGCCTGTCAGGCTCCTCTGATTCTCCAGGCAAGAATACTGGAGTGGGTTGCCATGCCCTCCTCCAAGAATCAGATGATAGGGATGGGTAGAAAGAATTCTTCTTTAGGCAAGAAGGATTCCGAGGGGAGAAAGATTCCCCTAGACAGTCCTCTAGGACGCTCCAACATTGGGAAGATAATCCTAGAACGAAAGGGAAAAAGAAACAACAGATGATGAAGTATTGCTGTTTCGTCTGGACTCAAGAACCTATATTGAAAAAAAAAAAAAAAAAAGAACCTATATTGAAATCATCAGTATTTTGGCCTAAGTTTCAGTTGGATGAAGATTGGATCTGCCAATTGTGTAAAGAATATGTTAATGACACGAGCCCAGTTGCCCAGGAAGAAATAGATCATGCTCTCTGTTGGAGAAAGGGCCAGTGGTTCTATTCCCCTTAAAGGTGGAACTAGGTAAAGAAAGGAGAAGGAAAATAATAAGTGGGATCCTATAACTGTTTGCCTCATCCTTATAACCCAGGAGACCTACAGCCTGAACTGCCCAAGAACAGCCTGAACTGCCTCCGATAGAAGAGGAAATAAGAACAGAAGAGAGGGAAACTGAGCTGGCCACCATGCCTCAGCACCCTCTCCAGCACTGTTTCCCTCCCTTCCTCCGTTGAGGAAGGATATAGAACAATGTAAAACGGACATTCAAATTTTACCCCCCACCAAAAGAGAGAAACCTCAGGCCCTCTACCTCCTCTGAGAAGTTCCCCTAGGAGGAGGGGGAACTGGATTTGTGGACATCCCCCCTACCAGCTCCAAGGTTCAAGAAATGAAGAAAGAACTGAAGCCCCTATTTGAGGATCCACCTGGGGTTGCAGACCAGCTAGATCAACTTTTAAGCCCCCAAATTTTCACATGGGCTGAGCTTATGTCTATCTTAGGTGTTGTATTTTCTGGCTAGGAAAGATCAGTGATTTGGAGAGCAACGATGGCTGGCCGATTGGAAAAGGGAATACCCAGCTGGCCCAAATGTCTTAGTAGCTGAAGTGAAATTCCCTAAAAATGGGATAATAACAGTCCTGAACATAGGGGTCATATGAGAGATCTCAGGAACCTAATTATAAAAGGGATCAGAGAGTCAGTTCCCCAATCCCAAAGTATTACTAAGGCCTTTGACATCCACCAAGGAAAAGATGAAGGGCTGGTTGAATTTCTGAGTAGGTTAAAAGAACAAATAAGAAAATACACTGGATTGAATTTAGATGATCCTCTTGGCCAAGATATGTTAAAGTTGCATTTTGTAACCAATAGTTGGCCAGATATTTCTAACAAGTTACAGAAATTAGACAATTGGAAATGTAGAAGTTTAGAAAAATTAAGAGAAGCCAGAAGGTATATGTAGGTAGGGATGAAGAAAAGCAAATAAATAATTAATGTTAGAAACCAAACTTCCTTGGACCAAGTGCCTCACAACTGCTCTTCTCAGAATCAGAACTGCCCTTCATAAGGATACTCGATTATCCCCATATGAGATGCTGTACAGGTTACCATATTTGGGTCAAATTGCTGACCTGCCAAGCATGGAAACTAAAGACCAATTTCTGAGAAATATATATTTGGCCTCTCCTCTACTCTGCCTTCTCTTAAGTTGCAGGGCCTTTTGGCTCAGGCTCCATCCTCGGATTTCCCACACATCCTCATCAGTCTGGTGATCGTTTCCTGAGAAAAACCTGGAAGGAAGACAAACTCAGATTGGCCTGGGAAGGACCTGATAAGGTGCTGCTCATGAAGAAAACAGCTGCCCGCACTGCAAAGTAAGGTTGGACTCATTACAGGAGAATCAAAGGGACTCCATCCCCTAACAAAAAAGAACAATGGGCTGTGGTCCAACACTCCAATCCTACAAAGCTGTCTTTGAAAAGACTTTAATATCCCTCTTGGTGATTCTGTATACCAAGATGCCTATTGTTGGGGGCAGCCCTTATCAGGTCAACTTAATTATTAACGTGACCATGAGCATGTGACCCCAACTGTGAAATTTGATGCTTTCCAGGTCTTGCCTTATGGTGACCTACACAGCCTAAAACAGCTATCTGAAGACCATAAGTACCTTTGTCCTGAACCACATTGGGCATGAAAGGAAATGATCCATGCCAACTCCCCTTCTATAGTTGGGCCAAAGTATGGTAGACTACCCAGGGTGGGTTACATGGCTAAACCATATAAAGCAGCTCCCACCCTCAGTTCAGTTCAGTAGCTCAGTCGTGTCTGACTCTGCGACCCCATGAACCACAGCATGCCAGGCCTCCCTGTCCATCACCAACTCCCAGAGTTTACTCAAACTCATGTCCATCGAGTCGGTGATGCCATCCAGCCATCTCATCTTCTGTCGTCCCCTTCTCCTCCTGCCCCCAATCCCTCCAAGCATCAGGGTCTTTTTCAATGAGTCAGCTCTTCGCATGAGGTGGCAAAAGTACTGGAGTTTCAGCTTCAGCATCAGTTCTTCCAATGAACACCCAGGACTGATCTCCTTTAGGATGGACTGGTTGGATCTCCTTGCAGTCCAAGGGACTCTCAAGAGTCTTCTCCAAACCACAGTTCAAAGGCATCAATTCTTCAGCGCCTAAGTAATATGGTAGGTGTTGCAAGAGGGCATCAGAGGGCAGACAGACTGAAACCATAATCACAGAAAACTAGCCAATCTGATCACACGGACCACAGTCGTGTCTAACTCAATGAAACTAAGCCATGCCTTGTGGGGCCACCCAAGATGGTTGGGTCATGATGGAGAGGTCTGACAGAATGTGGTCCACTGGAGAAGGGAATGGCAAACCACTTTAGTATTCTTGCCTTCAAAACCCCATGAACAGTATGAAAAGGCATAAATAGGATACTGAAAGAGGAACTCCCCAGGTCGGTAGGTGCCTAAT